ATATGTGTGAAATTTGGATACCTAATCACGCATGCTAAAATCACTTTATTTAATTGTTTCCATAGACATTTCAAAATAATTAAAACAATCAGTGCCATTTTTTAATGCAGTTTGCAGTTTATGCTTTGTACTTTTCAGCTATACAGTCTTTATAACTAGGTACAAAAGCAGGTATCAGTGAAGAAGAGTACCTACGCGAGACGTTGTTATAATGTAGCCGCAGCTGCGGCCGCCGTAGTGCAATATTCGCTCCCCACAAAGTCAAGAAAGAGGTACGAAAAGGGGTACAAACCTTTTAATGACTGGCGCAAAACTAAAGGAATAATTACTTCCACACATATTCCATTAATTGTTAGTAATTAAAAAACCATTATCCTTTGTGTAGGTATATTAATATTTAAAAATATCCACATAGTCTGCATTATAATTATCCAATCGTTGATTGAATAACTTATTCAATGAATGATCTAATTGTTATTTTGCATGTACTAGGACTGTAATGGGAGTCAGGCAAAAATATTACAGTACTAGTCAGGTAAAGATCAACTTTCTAATGTCAAAATAGCCCTGAAATTTAGATTTTCTTGACGGTTTCAGGTAAACTAAAATTTCCTGACAGAAAGTAGACATAAAAATGAAGGTTACAGGGCGATTTTGAGTAAAAGCATGATATGAGTTATATGATGTAAATGTTTCTCAAAACACGGGTTATCCCACAGTTTCATTGAGAAACGACTAGGAACCAGAGATTCAACAGTACTTCAACCTTTGAAAAAGTTCAGCACTCCTGAGTTGACCCTTAAGGTTGATTCTCACTTGCGCACAACTCGGCTCGGTGCCGCTGAAAAAATAATTTCATGGATTTAAATGCGTCGTCTCGTGTAGCCGCATTCATTTAAGGACATGAAAACTTTATTTACACGGCGATACAATCGCCCGCTGACTGGCATCTCGGTACATCTGTAAACTTGCCTCTTATGGAGCCGTTCTGATGGCTGTTCTGATGGAACTGAATACTTTTTCATTAGCCCACAATTGCACTGAAAATACTTCGCCGCAAAAATATCCCACTGCGAAAGAGCAGTTTAGAAAGCCCAAAATCTGCGAAGTATTGAGTTCTTACTAACTTACTGAGGCCACAAGCTTCTAAGATATTTGCTGATTATTTTACAAACATTGTAACAATACCGCAACCATAGATCTTGTTCAAGATAGATACGTTACACAAAGCATCAGGGGTGAAACTGGAGCGAATAGGGGAGCAGGAACTAAGAAACAAGTACTTCCACATTTTAGTTTTGGTCAGAAGTAATATCCTTCCGGTTATTTCAAGTGTAGCACATAATTAACATAGGGTACCAGATCTCTTGTGAGTTTTGAGCGAGTACGTTTAGCTATCTCGCTCACACTCACGCGTATGTACGTATAATGGTCTTTCGCTCTGACTCACGGCGGCACTTTAAGTACGTTTATGGGATGTTTGGCACTGATGATTGGTCTGGCAACTTACAAAATATATTAAAAGAGACCCCTAAATATGATAGATAAAAATTCACAGATTTCGCAATCCTTGCAACCATCGGAGGCATTGGAAATGATAACCGTATAACCTTATAAAGTCATAAATAACCCTTCACACGGAATAATCTTGACCCACTCGCTCGCGAGCTTGCTCGTGTCGCAAACGTAATCTTTCTGAATAATAAGCGGCGTAACATGCTTGTAATACTATCACGGGCGATGTGCAAGAATTTAAAATTCGAATCAACAAAACCCCTGCGCACTGTTAAGTAAGTACCGTATCGACGGTATCCGCGACTTTTCCTGAACCTACCGATTGCAGTCGAGTACGGTACAATCAACACTAAACGCGACACCACTGTCTTTTTTTCTACTTGGCAAACCTGGTAAGTTCATACCCATACAAAACATAAGCATTTCCAATGCTAAAATGAAGTCTCAGACTGTAACTAAGGTTGTGTTTTTTTGCTTTCGGTATTTAAAGTATCTGGCAACTGAAGGTGCCTGGCAGCTTTAATTTCTAATTGTTTACAATATTCCCTACAACAGACGTAAGAATCAGTCCTCACACTGTAGGTAACGTGTCTGGTACCTGTCTGCTCAAGCTATAGAGGGTACCTATGTATTAATGTATACGTTCACTGTACACACTAATACTATTTGTACATATTTTGTCCTTCAGAAGATAAGTAAGGTCTGGGGGTCCTGAGATCTTGTTCTATAAAGGCTTTCGGTGTGAGAGGGGTTCCTTAAAATGCATTTCTTCCATTAAAGTGGGTCATTTAATGCCCCACAACTTTGTAATGCACTATGATACAAAAAATAGTCTTAGTTTACCATATGTGAAAAACTGCCAAAAGTCCGAAAACTTAGGATAGATATTGTTACGTCCCCCAACTAGAATTAATATCCTTTTTGTTTTCTTTAAAGAAAATATCCCAGTATACCATGTATGTACATAACCATTTTGCCTGTCCCTGTATACAGTGATATTCATGTAGAAGTGACATAGGGATTTCCTATACAGTGACGGTTCCAAGATTTGGTAAAGGGAGGGGCCCAAACCCGAACTTTGTCCCAACACGGAAAAAAATTAAAGAAATCTCGTATAATGGAAATGAGATCGACACAAAATTGATGAAAAAAATGGACAATGGGGGGCCGGGCCCCCACGACCCCTTCCCCCTGGGACCGCCATTGTTCCTATAGGAATTTCCTATGTCTAATTTTAAATGATAAAAAGTGTTCTGAGGGACGCCTAATTTTATGTAACCAAAATAACTACCTACAACAAATGAAGATTTGCCTGTCATATTAATTAAATTGAAAATTTCACACCAACAATTTTCGACCAATGAAATGCAGATTTCGTCTCACGTTATCATGGTAACCGAGGTATTTATCGGAAATTTTTGCCTGCAGGGGTAACCTACAGCGAATTATAGTGGAAATTTTTTGACGTCATAAGAGAACGTTTTGACGTAAAACGTCAGTTAGCCGTGTTATAAAAAAGTATTCCAGCAGAAATAAACACAATTGGGTAGATATTAAATCCATAATCTTCCATAATCATTGCCAATTCCTCCACAGATATGTTTTCCCTATCGAATATATAACTTTTTTTAGAGCAAAAGTCAGTAAACTGCTTCCAAACACTTGACTTAGATTCCTTAGTATTCTGGGGCGTTAGGTGCTGAATTTCGCTAGGAATAGCTTCCTTATTTTCTTGACCGAAGCTAATCATTTCGTTCACGCTCACAATAAACTTACTGTCAACGGCAATTTCAATTCAAATCGGTAAAATGTCATCCAAAGGCTATCTTGATCTACTTTCAAAAAGAGAACAAATCTTCAAATAAGTCGTTGAGGTTCAACATGGTGTGAAATTTTCTTACTGAATACCACACGTGCTTGAATTATTCTACAAATTTGTTCTTGCTCACGAATATTTTTACGAAAATTAACCCTCACCTTCGGCTCGGGTTAATTTTCAAAATATTCATGAGCTCGAACAAATTTCCGGAAATAATTCAAGCACTAGTGGTATTACATGTGAATATTGTTGCTTTGACAGCCAGGTCTTTATTTGTTTCAAGAAGTTATTTTGGTTGCATATATTTACGGATTTCGTAATTTTTCAAACTTATAGATCTTTTAAGGTCAATGGTAAGATTTTTGTTTGTGTCGAAACCCAGTCATGCCCTGAGAGGAAATAAGGGTAATTTGACCTAGTTAGGTAGGTGTCTATTGGGTGGTATTTTGACCGCGTACCATTACACACAGCAATATAAACCGAAAGATTTTGATGCAGAAAGATGAACAAAATCGTCTCATGGGAGCTTCCGTCGCCATAAACAAAAATAGCGGATGATTCTTTTGATTTTTATTTCGGAAACAAAGATTACTGACATGATATTTCAGATTTATGATGAACGCGTAAGATTAATTGTTTTATTTCATTTGATAAGCCATTTAAATTGTATGAAATTAGCAAGTGTTCTTTTATTAAATTTTACTACCCTGTAAAATTTTTGTATAAAGCTGAGTAAAGGGTGTATCATAAATTGATTGCTACCACTTCTTTTGTTGAATACTCCTACCACATTCGCGAGTATAACAAAATTAAGCAAGTAGTATCTAAACTAACGGATGGTAGGTACTTACGTTATGAAGTCACAGAAGTCATTTTTTGACACTCACCTAATCCTGTTAATTATACGAGGCAAACTAATTTTTTTCCGAGATTAAGAAAATTCACTTTGCAGTTGAAAACACGTTTATGAACTACGAAACGTTGTAGTAAAATATAAATATCATAAATCTCCAGTAGCGATGGCAAGACTGACATCAATTTTAATATCCTGGCTGAACAGACAGGCAAAGTTATTTAGCTACTTACGCTCGCAGCTCTCTCAAAGTAAAGAGATTAGCGAACTAAAAGACCTAAAGATAATAACTACTTATGGTATGCAAATGAGATCCAACGGATGCACTACAAATTATAACAGGTTCGTAGTTGCCGTAGATTTTACTCACTCAAGTTTTTAAGTGCTGGCAGCACGAGACAATCTCACACACGCCACTGAATCGAACCTTCATAAAACGATAGATACACATGTAAATGATCAGAAGAATCCGCTTTTTGGTACAGGGGAGCACATCCGGTTTGGAGTGGGCAAGCATCCTGGAGATAACGCATATATAACACTGTCACTTTCTGCAATTTTTTTTTGGTTTATCACTACCAGCTTAATATTTCTCAATTATAAATGTATAATGAAAATGTGCTCTCTTTTTATGCCACATAATTATTTACACGTAAAAATGTAGACATTAAAATTAATGATAGTGACTATACGCGTTTTTATTGAAGAAATAAGGAAGAAGAATCTAAATTCGTACTGAAATGTGTTATCATTTTTTCGTTTCACAAAACGCGAAAATAATTGTTACCGCAATTTAAATGAAAGTATACTCACAGAGAGTGTTAACCAATTTCTTTTGGAACAGTAAATATATGCTCGGCTACTAATTCGTTAACCATAGATAAATGAGGGATAATGGTGTCGGGGTCTTTAATCACCAAATAAGTACTGCTTACCTGATCCAGGATAATTCCATTAAATCTCTGATAATACTCAAATAATGTATACGCAGCGATAAGATTAGTATTAATCTATTCAATCGGAATATAGGAAGATTTAAGTACAATTGCGTGGCGTTGTATGAATCGATTTCACAATATGAACACACTAATGAAAAAATTCTCAAATAATTATCTATACACAGGGTGGAAATTTTGTCTGGAACACGGAAGTATTGTTGTGTAAACTATAGGGGGGGTGTCGTTTCTCTACGTTGAAATAACGCCGAAGATGGAAGCGACCCACCCTGTAGTTCAAAATGTACGTGTTGTCAACGTAATTTGCGGTTTACGCATTCGAAATCTTATCATCTGGTTAGCAGTGGTAATTATTGGTTAACCTCATGCAACAAGTTATTGTATTGCCGAAGTTAGGTGTGGATCAAAGGTGTTTTTTAAGCTGCTAGCTGTGTGTAAAGTATTTGATATGTCGTTCATCGTATTCCCATTGTCCGGGCCAGATAATTTGGATATTAATTTGACTAATCTATGAGTACCTACTTATTTTTTTTGGGATCTTTTGAATTGTTCGTTTTTTATATTTGTCCATTATAGCTTACAGGTTTTTGTATTTATTTTTTAGCGCATTTCCACAAAAAAAAATGCGCTGTTGTCACCACTTTATCCGTCCGTCCGTCCGTCCGCTCGTTCGTTGAGACGCTACTAGTTCTTTATCTTAAGAGCTATTGTTTGTACTTTTTTCGCTATTTGGTTTGTTATGGTGTCGAGGCTTGCACCAAGAAAGGAATTTTTTCTGCGTTTATTGCTAAAAAAGTTATTATAAGAAAACCAACAAACCGTTTTTTACATGTTCCATAATTTTACACTTTTGCGGTTTATTAACGATCCTAGAGATCGTTTATAATTTTGTATTGCTGTCTGTCGTCTGTCTATTGGTCTGTCCGTCTGTTCCTTTGTCTGGCTGTCCCTCTATCTGTCCGTGTGAACAATAACTTTGTTTAGAAATGTCCGATCGCTTTGACATCTCCGTTAGTTATGAACTGAATTGCATGAAATTCAATATGGGCATATCTTTAGCCATATAATACGCAATGACAAAAGTTGAGTCGAATAGATTCAAAACCATTTATAAACCGAATTGCAAACTTCTTTATTTATAAAAGTATTTGAAATTTAATTTGATACATAGGCACTTGGAATAAATGAAAATCTAATAGTACAGTCAAATAAGAAAAAAGTTACAAAGTAATCGTAAACGATTTACAAAAAGCGCATTTCCACTTGCATTCATTTTGCGACTTCTGTTAAAATCGTAAAAATCCGGCCAGAAATATGAAAGATAGCGTTGCAAATGTGCAATCCATTTTTGACATGCTACTTCAATTTCAGTTTATAAGAAGAATTTCATTTCAATGCTTTCATAAATGAAAGTTGGCACTGCGCATGCGCAAAACCAAATTTTGAAACTGGCGTTTGATTTTCCTTTATTCCAAGTGCCTATGCATCAAATTTCGTTTAAATTCTTCCATAAATAAAAAAGTTGGCACTGCGCTTTTTAGCTTCCTAGCATGTGCTAGGTAGCTATTGCGATAGCCGTTTTTTGAACATTTCAAAATTTCATCAAATGTCGACGTTTTAGACCATTTTAAGCAACTTTTAAAGAATAAAATTTTTTCCGTCTATGTGTTTGTTGGCAATTTTCTGAGAAAACGGCTCGACGGATTTTGTTGAAATTTTGTATATATGTTTTAGGCATACCGAACAGAAAAATAACGGGCCGGATTTTTGAAAAAAAATTTTGGAGCGCTGTAACGGCATCGAACTTTTTTTTTCAAATAGCAACCTAAAATTTTTATTCTATTATTTGGAAGACCTTATTTTCCTGTGTACAACCTACAAAAAATTGGGCCGGGTTATATTATCAAAAAACGGAGAAAATAATTGTCAAAGTCCCTTTAATAAAAGCAAACAAAATTCATGCGCAAAAATCGTGTTGCGCATGCGCAGAAATGCAATTTTCTTATTTATGGAACAATTAAAACGAAATTTGGATGGTAGGTCCTCCTAATAAAAGAAAACAAAATGCATGCGCAAAAAATCGAGTTGCGCATGTGCAACATCCAACTTTCTTATTTATGGAGCAATTTTAACGAAAATTGGATGGTAGGTCCCTCTAATAAAAGCAAACAAAATGCATGCGCAAAAATCGTGTTGCGCATGCGCAGAAATGCAACTTTCTTATTTATGGAACAATTTTAACGAAATTTAGATGGTAGGTCCTTTTAATAAAAGAAAACAAAATGCATGCGCAAAAAATAGTGTTGCGCATGTGCAACATCCAACTTTCTTATTTATGGAGCAATTTTAACGAAAATTGGATGGTAGGTCCCTCTAATAAAAGCAAACAAAATGCGTGTTGCGCATGCGCAGAAATGCAACTTTCTTATTTATGGAACAATTTTAACGAAATTTAGATGGTTAATAAAAGCTAACAAAATGCATGCGTAAAAGAACATATGTTGGCAATTTTTGGTTTCAGCTAGGAAGCTATTCTGTCAAGAATTTGACACCTGGTTTAAAGAAGCTTTTTATGGCACCCAAATTTATAGAAAGTGTGCCACCAATCTGCATTATTTAAAATTGAGGGCAGTGGCGTCCATGTGTAGAGTCAAGGGGGGCATATATATTTTAATAGCAATCGCAATTTTTATTAAAGTGTTGAATTGAATCCAGAAATGTATTTAAGAGTATGATATCGAAATATCAAGGTCGTATTACAAAAAATGAAATTGATGGTGATTTTGTAAAGACGAAACGTCGGCTTAAAGAATTAACACCGCCACTTAAAGAACATTAAAAGTTGCTGTGAAGGAGTGTCATTGGTTTTAATCTACCTAGGTTAAATATAAACGCCAAAAAAAAATAGTTCGTAAAATCAAAAAATCAGATCAGAGATCAGAGAGAAGCTTTTATTCTCTGGACGAACAAATAAGTAAAGTAGAATTTTTTAGCTGTGACAAATGTCAAGGTTCGGAATTGTCTTCCCAAACATGATAATAAATGAATGATTGGAGTCACTGAAATATGTGTGATTTATGCGCAGTGGTTATCAATGAGATTTTTATTCTTTAATTTATTTTGGCGCCAAGATTGCGAGGGGGGGGGGTTATTTATAAATACGCACAGAATTGGTTTATTGTATTTGAATTTCTATTTCCGTAGTTGTGTTTCCATTTTGGAATTGTCTGTAATTGTATAATTTATTCAATCAAGCGCATAAAGTAATCCCCCCCCCCCCCGATTCAACCGACCGACGCCTAATTTACCAATACACCCCCGATAAAACGAAAAACAGCAGAATCTTGAAAAGAGTGCGATGATTCAAATGTCGGAGAGTGATGACGATGGGAAATCAGCCAGTAAACATTACGAAAACATATTATTATTATTTATTACTATTAGAATAATAATTGTTTTGTAGCTTTGTCCAGTTTCAATCAGGGTTACTGTCCAAGCGTTTGCCGGTTATCGTGTTCACAGACAGACAGACAGACACTATCGATCGCCGTAAAAAGCTTGCATCACTTTGCCTTCCGCTCATTAACATGAATTGTTAATTTAAAACTGAAGTGATTAATAAAATCCGGCGATATGTACATACTTACAGATATTAACTTTGCAGTGCCATATCTCTCACAATCATCGGCGACTTTCTCTTTATCTGAAACAAATACAGATTTTTACTTAGGTCATCAATAAGTTTGTTGCATAAATCATCATCATATTCTTTAGGTCATTATCACGAAGGTTGTTATGTTAGTTATCAACAGAAATTAAATATTCTGCTATAGTAGGGTTTATTTGTTATGTCAATATAGCCATTTGAAAGTAAGGTTTATTTCCACAACACAGTAATACCACATTCTGTTGTACTGTTCGGTTTCCAAACGAAAATGCTCTAACAAAATTAACCCCCCCCCCCCTCTAAAGTTTCCTAAATATGGCGAAAAATAACATAATTGACGTTTTTGTTTTTTTTGCTTTAAAATCGTTATTTGGGAAGGTATTTAAAAATTAAAAACACTTTCTTTAGAGAACTTTTTCTGTTCTTTTAGACGATGGAAATGCATGATCATTGATACTTTAGTTTATATCGATACCAACTTTTGTTTTTCATATGGGATCCATTTTAAAATGTTAAGTCATCTCATAGACAATAAATCCTGATAATAGGAGACAGGAAAATACAAATAGGTGAATTATATTAGAAGATCATACGAGAATAATACAGAGAGTGGAAGATATGAACTGAATAGAAATGAGGAGGGTTGGAAGGGGTGGAATACAAACATTAATGTAGAAATTTGGAAAACTATGAAGGAGAGGACAAGGAGCTCCACTAGTCCCTCAAAAGATTCAAAAAGCCAGAAGCAAATACATTTAATTAGTTTCACTCAAAATTATTATCAAGAAATTTAAATAATGCAAAATAAATAGAAAAAGATAAAAAAGAAATATGTAGTAGTAAAATAAATTAAAATTCAAGAAACAATTTAATTGAAGAATTGAAACAAGTTACGGAAGAAATTGAAGAAGATGAAGAAAGAGAACGCATGAAGAGTTAACCACTAATTAAAAAAACTGGAGGGGGTAGGACTGTAGGAGAGCGAGCTGAAGAAGTGAAAATTTGTAAAAATCGAGAAGACATATAAGAAGTACTCCAGAAATGATGATTTATACTACATCATTTTTGAAGCAATAATCAGAGCGAAGAATAACCCAGCGAAAATGATAAGAAGAATTAAAATTTTGCTATGCAGACAAATTGAAGGAAATTTGGTAGAATTTCAAGAAAAGGGAAATAATTACAGAAAAACAAATTGAAGTGACAAGAAGAAATATTATGATTCCGAAGAAAATGAAGAAAAAAGTAGAAATATGGCAGTATCAAGTGAACATTGAAGTGAAAAAGTGAA